TAGACTGGTTCTCAACCGCCCTCCTTGTTAAGAGCACCTGCTACTTGCCTGAAATAACTAGAGCTGCTCAACGATTTAGGATTTTAGGTGGAAGATTTGATGTTCCGTTTGAGCGAACTGCTTTAACTAGACAATTATTAAAGCCAAAGTGTACTTCAATCTGAGGCAAATGTTTTAATTCACCTCTCGTCATAAAAGGTTTATTGGTTCAGTAGAGACTCCGCACATTTCGCTAATTTTGTAGTTATTTACAAAACATTCGACTCCTGGACATTCTTCAGGACAGGCAGTTGTAGCAGATCGACAAGCAGCTTATTGGTTTCTGTTGTAAATTTTGACGCTTCTCCCTTCTTGCCAACCTCTTCTCGATTTCGTTATTTCTGACCGGCTCATCTGCATTCTGATTAATCGACGACCCACCAATCATATTTCGAGTATTTTGACCTTTGCCCTACTTGTTTTTCCAGGTTATTGCGCGAAAGCCGTGGGTGTACAGTGGTTGGACAGCTTGGACGAGTATGGTGAGGAGGTCTTTCATCCCTTTTACCCTTCACATTTGCTCAGTAAGCCAGCCATGACATCAACCCCGTGGATCTTTGGTCGGAACTACCACCCCTTGAAAATGGTGAGTAACGTTGGGAAAGGAAATTACTTTTTTCCCCGCCCCTTATTCAGGGTCATTTTCTTGCCGACTTCAAGTCATTTTAATTGTGCCTTCGAAGTGTGTACATATTTTGAATGCGACACGGCTACCCTACCCGTGGCGGAACCTAACCTTGCAAGCTGCTTAACCACAAAGTGCAAATAGTCCTCATCTGGACATTTGTTAAGGGAAGACCTCAAATCCACTGCACAAACCCATTGGCACTTCGAGAGAATACCAGCCATCCTTGCCTGGACCTTTTCTCTTTTGCATGTCCTAGGGTTTCAAATGTTGTAGCGACCACTCCGTATCTTTCCACTACGTCAAACCAATGGATATGTACACACTAGAATACCTCACTTATCACCTCTACCCAGCCGGTATTGCTAGAGATCCGAGCCAATACGTGGAGCTAGAGAGATTGCGTCTCACATACCAGGAATGATCTCCTTCAATCACTCTATCTGCCTCGCTCTTTCACCAGAATGTACATTCCCACACGGACACATTCTGTTTGCCTTTGGACAGATTAAGATGCCCAAGATTGAAGCTATAAGTTTTTTTTGAAAAAACATGGGATCATTTAGTCCGATGAGATGCCTTCTTGACAAGCAAATGGTGCATTAAAAATAGTAAAAGCATCTTCCAGATTTGGTTTTTGAACTGCATTTACCATTGGGCAGTTAATTTTTTTGGCGAAAAGCAAGTTACCACAGGATCGCCGGTTCTTCAAAAGTGCAACCGTGGCAAGATATTGCAGTAAAATGTAAAAATCTACAGTACGGGAAGTCGCCTAAGCGTCATGCTACAATTCTGCCCGACAATCCACCAGCACACCACAGCAAAGAGCACGCCAATGAGCAACGAAATCTGGACACGTCTCGTGAGCTGATGTAACGGAGCCCTAAAACTATTTTCAAATTCGTGTACAAAAGACCAGATTCGACCTTCAGAGAATGGTATCCAACACCAACCCAGAACGTGGTTCTGTAGTTGTTGACATCGCCAGTACACGGTAGATGTACAGTGATCCACAAATCCAATGCCACGCCCACGAGGAAGAGAAGCAGAGCGCTTCGCTGCTGACATTAAGACTCAATACTACGATAGGAGATAGACCGCAGGTAATTGTTAAAATTTGTATTGAAATGGACTTCATAGCAAGCATAGACATTTAGCAAACATGACTAGTCAGTGTGAGAAGGGTTTTCGCAAGTATTACACCTCCCTATCCAGATACTGCGAGTTTATAGGCAAGAAATCGAACTATATCTCTGGTCCGATAATAAGAAATGCCCCATTTTGAAAAAGGTAGTAAATAAGTAATACTGACGAATGCACCAATCAAGAGAGTTGACAGATAGTCAGTTGATTACGCTGGATTACCTGCTATTTCAAAAGAAAGCTAAAGAGAAGCAACGATTACATAGTTAGCATGTCTTACCTGTATGGATAACTCTGGTTCTTCTTACGGAATAGGGACAGACATAGGCTTGTAAATACGACAAACATTGCAACTCCCAGTACCGCCATTGCTAATAAAAGCAGACAACAGTAGCGTTAAAATGAAGAAGACAAGGAAAAAGCAAAGCCACAACCAACCTCGTCTTTTATTCGAATCCGGTGTCTGGTTAACGTCAGTCAGAATCACAAAACTCAAGGAAACAAGAGCGTCTAAGTTTTAGTTAAGGAATATTTGAAGGTGAATTTAGAAAAAAAAAAGTGGAGCGGCAAAAGGATACATGTAGTCATGATAATAAGGGTTTCTGAAACGAATTGTGAATTATTATTAGGATAAAAAAGAACCTAGGAAGAAATACTAGTTATGTGTCAGATCTTACGAGGCCCTCTTCAGCAGAGGAATGAAATGCAGGTGGCCGCCTAATGCTGTTCCACACTTGACCGGAGATCATGTAAAAAATGAGAATCTGAAGGTAAGTTGAGTTAGTGCTCGCCTACCATGCAGGTATACGAAATTGTGGAGCGGTTAAAGAATTGCCCAATATTTTCAAAGCGAAGGTAGAAAATTATTCCACCTACACTGGCCAATATAGCCAGAAGAAAAAGGCCTGAGTAACTAGGAGGACGTTCAACGTCAAACTACATCGAGGATTGAGAATTGCCCAACAACCTACATGAATACCGGTCCTCAAAAATACCCACCGAGCCAAAACTTCGGCACTTAATCCATTTTGTGTGATATCATAAACATCCTCCTTTTTTGGCGAAGTGGTAGGAGGAAAGTGGATAAACACCGGTACTGTATTTTGGTTCAACTACAAAATTAGTTAAAAGCATTAGGAGCCCACAGATGTGAAAATCTCCGAGTCGCCATCATAGTCAGCGACTGCGAAGAATAGTTCATTCTTATTCGTTTTGGAGAGGGAATAGGAGCGAGAAAGAATGGCGAACTCATCCGCGGCAAGCCTAAATAAATTACAAGATCAAAAAGGACATACTGACAGTGATGGCAATTATGTCTGTGACTTAATGCGGTCAGCATTAAAATAGTCGAATAGTTCCGAGGGGCCTTGAGCAAAAACTCATTATATTTCTCGAAGTCCAAGGGAAGCAACTTAGATTGATCCAGAAGTGATACAATGGTCTTAACTTTTTGTTCAAGGATCTAGATTATAAATGGTATAACTGACGCTTACATCAACTTCACGGGTACCCGTTGTTTCGACTACCTGCTGATATAAATTAACTAACAGAAAAGCGTAAAGCCACATTTTTAAGACATGCATAGACGAGGCCGCGACAGACGCGTTAAATATAACAACGTCACGGTGCATTCACCAATCGTAAGCAAGAAAAGTGCAAACTTGGTTTACGGGAGCATTGATATACAAATTATTGCAAATATTGCAAATGTATAAATAAAATGGATTAAAAAGCGTTGCTCAAATATGGTATTAGGGAAATGGAGTAGCGTACCTAGAAGTCTTTTGTAACAGAGAATATCTGGGGTAGTTTTTAAGGCAACAAAAGAAAAATAACTACGCGCTTTGGTGAACCAACATAAAGCTTCTGCCTAAAATCATGGTTTGCTGTTTCGATTATGCAAATTTTGGACATTCGTTGCTCTTAAACTGCCTCATAGATCTAAAACCGGCGTCGGATACCATTGGTAAGCAAAATCTGGGCTCAGTTAAGATTAGCGATCAAGCGGTAACAGCTGCTCCCACATGTACAAACCTCGCACCCACATCTATTTTGGTGTTCGTACTTTGTGATTCTTTAATAATTTGCACAACTGACAAATTAAGAATTTTGCATAGACCATGTCTGGGCAGAATCCCCAAATGAGGCGCGTGAAGTGTTATTACCCACTTAACCTACCATTGCACCCAGAGTCTTTTTTGAAGTTCTTAGCAGTCTCAGCACTGTGACGGGAAATATATTATTAACGTAATGAATGGTTGAGGTCACTGGTACGGCCCGGCCACCACGCTGTAGAGCGGAAATGCAATCTGCCGAGAACTTAGTGCCCTCGTAACCAGATGTAGAGTTAAGAACCAACAAAACATCATGCTACTTAACACCTTCAAGCATGTAGCCAACTTTGAGAAGTTCACTAATGCATATCTCGGCAAACCACTTGACACCCTGCACAGGGGACCCCCCGTAAAACACCGTCAGGCAGCGCAGTGCTACATTCCAGAAAGTTCCTTGTTCCAGCCTCTCGCTACTGCTTTGGAAGGCAACCCTGCTGATGCTAGTGACCTTCATCTTAGTTAAGACAGCAGTCACGCGCACTCCAAACCGGGTTTCTTTATCCCTAGGACCCAAATTGAGAACAAAGCTTCCCGACTTAAAAGCCCATTTCCGCTAAGTAGCAAAAGGAACCGAAGTAGATTTTGATTTTCACAGTAGTCGGGAAAGACATAACAAGAAAAGTCAAAGGAGTTTTGTTGAAAGCACAAAATAAAGTTAACCCAAATTCCGATCTTCTCGCGCCACTAGTAATAGGTTATTTCGCAACTTTAGGAGTTCATTGTACTGCCCCATATCTCTGGCAATCCCGAATGGATGAAGGTGATAGATGAGGTAATCCATTGTGTACATCTCCCACGGGGAAACGTAGTGGAAAGACACAGAATGATCACTGCAACAATTGAGACCCTAAATTAATGCCAAATAGGGGAATAGTATTAACAAATGCATAGCAAACCATAAAACAAGCCAAAAATTAACAATACAAACCGGAGACACATTTGAGATTTATGTATAATTTCAAACGAAAAGAAAACAAAGGGGAGTCAAAAAAGTAACAAGAAAAAAAACCAACATCGGTGAACAGCCAACTATACAGAAGGATCAGAATGCGAATAGGCTTATCGGGAGTAACGAGGTCGAGAAGCAGTTTGGCAACAACGGAGAAACAGGCGCTGAAAGACATTCCACCAAAATTTGTGGCAAAAGTTAATAAACTGCCGCTTGTTTTTTAGAAAGACGAATGCTTCACAAAAACTACAACAATGGCGAAATGCATGCAGTCTCTACAAGACAATTATGCCCTTTTGCACGGAGGGGGAGATCAAAGCATTCAACTTGGATTGCAACACACTTCTCCCTTACTAAATCGCCCATT